TGCTCAAAAATAGCCATGCATATGATTATTTCAGTGTGCAGTGGACAGTTGGATTCAGAAATCATGTTTTTTTAAATTGGTGTATGTCTGAGAGATACACCAATTAAAAAAATTAAATGAAAAAAAGAAAGATAGAGTTGCTAGCTCCGGGTTGGGATATACCTGGAGGTTTTGGGGTTGGAGCCTGAGGAGGGTGGGGTTTGGGGAGGGGAGGGGCTTCAGTGGGGTATAATGTCATGGAGTCCACCTTCCAAAATGGCTGTTTCCTCCAGGGGAACTGATCTCTGAAGTCTGCAGATCAGTTGTAATTCCAGGAGATCTTCAGGCCCTCCCTGGAGGTTGGCAACCCTACTGAAAGAATAAGCTGAGTATTACCAGACAGAATGACAACAGAATTGCTGCCTAAGGAGCTCTGGAGGAAAAAGTACTAATCTCAGAATATGGTATTGAGTCCCCCTGCCTCCAGTGAAACTTTTTTATTCTAAAATTCATGTGGGAGCAGAATGAGGAACTCAGGGTACCGTGCTGTCAATCAAGAAGCAAGGCATGGTTCTTGAAGCTTTCACACCAATTCTTTTGAGTAGTTCTTTCCCCCATTTTCCTCTCCGTGAATTTATGTGGGGAGGGTATGGGGCAATTAAATACTACATATTAAAATGAATATTTGTGATTTGGCTATACCTGCAATAATTGACAGCACTTCACAAATACAGGGAGCTGCTTCTTGGCCTCTCAGGCTAGAAGTTATCTGCTCACTTAACTGTAAGGAGACCAGATCTAAAGAGATTTATGAAGGGCCCCCCCCCCCCCCCCCCGAAAAAACAAGTTCTCTGAGACCTGCCCCTGTCAGGAACAACATGTGTCAAGAGACATGCCTTGGGTTTGACAGACTGTCCAGCTGTGTGTGTTTTTTAAAGGGAGGGCATTGTTAACTCCAGTATATGGCACTATCCTCTCTGTCCCTCTCACATGGTGCTGTTTGACCCTTTTGAGCACCTGGCCTTGTCTGTTGAAGAGTGGAGGCGGATGGGAGGGGGAATTTGCAGAGAGAAGTCTGTTCTCAAAGCTGCCTTGAAAAGAACACAGGGCAGTGGGCATTGCCAGAACAACCACCATTATTTCAGGTTTCTACATTTTTTAAAAAGATACATGAAGCTAACTAACTGCAAGGGCATTCCAGCCAGCTTCAGCCACCACCATCTGGTCCATTAAAACAAATCTGGCATGCTTCCCTGCTCCATTCTCCCCCCCACCCCCACTGTGTTCAGAGGGGAGGGGATGAGGGAAAAGAAAGCTCCCAGCTGCTCTGACGTTTGAATTTAGATTGGCCACAGCTGGCTTGTAAAATGTGGAGCAAAAGCTCTTCTGCTTCAAATTAGGCCAAGGAGGATGGGAAGTGCTTTTTAAACGGCCAGTGCCACTTAAAACATTCTGTAGGGAGTGTGTCCTGTTGCGCTCCATAAAACTGAACCCCATACTCACTCGGGGTGGGGGGCTCCATGCCTTTATCCAGTAGTTCTTTGAACCTTTGATATTGCAATATCTTTCTGGAGTCACATGAGAGAAGGCCAGGGAAGTCTCTTAGATGATCTGGAACAGAGCATCGAGGACTTACCAGTGCTGAGAGTGTGGAGTGCACTGGAATTGGGCAAGAAGCATTCCAGGTTCCCAGCACAGTTCTCAGCAATGGCCTCTTAGTCTTCAACCCCTCCCAAGACAGTGGGAGGAAATTCTGTAACGAACACAATGGGAGCAGTGGCTTTCTTGCTAGGTTTCTGGGTGTCCCAGGTTTGTGTCTTGCTTTGAGTGTACAGTGTACATCATTCCGTTTCAGCCATCCCTGTGGAGGGTTGTAGGTGTCTTGTTCACTATATAAACAAGCAGGGCCTTAGGCACAGATTTTTCTGGCTGCCCTGTACATTTTGACAACTGTTGTAGCAGTGCCACCTTCTGGTAAAATGTCATTGATTCAGGAATCTTGTGTTGGTTTATAGATTGAGCATGGAGGGGAAGTTAATCTTAGGCTTTCATACACTAGAGATTTTGAAGAAGGACTCAGAGGCAAGATTCTTGCTTTCATCTTGCTTCTGTTTATTTTCTTTGTTTTAGGTCGCAATGAATTAATAGCAAGGTACATCAAGTTACGGACGGGGAAAACACGGACAAGGAAACAGGTAAAGACTTTCTTGATGCTTATTCAAAAAATGAGTATAGTTGTATCAAGAAGGAGCACCCTTTGAGGGCCTACTAAAATTACACGTGTGTGCACATTCCATTTTCATAATTTGATCTATCCTTGAGTTGGGAGATGGACACCTCAGCTAGCAACTAACATGAAAGGGAGTCTTGTGATTTTGAGGCTCTTCTTCTGGCTCAGTTCCCTAGTGTGCTGTCAAACCCATGCATCACCACCTTTTGCCAATTTCTTTCTTTCAGACAAGGAGAGTAGTTGCCTGTCTCACATAAGTGTTATGAGAGTCAACATCTGTCTGATTAATGGTTTGCATCCTTGATTGGAAGCTGCTATAGGAAGAGTGCCATCTTGACAACTGTGCTTTATTGTAAGCACTGAGCACAGGCTTCTAAAACTTCTCTTCCAGAACCAAGTTGAACTAAACTGGAAGAGCCCTAAACTTTGGATTGTACCCCCAGAGCAAATGAGTCAGCCCCTTTTATTATCCAACCTACCCAGACCCTCCCCTAGAATCAATTAACCTTATAGGGTACATCCCAAAAATCTGGAGGGAACCCTGAAATGGGATTGTGAGTCACTAGGTTTTGGTATCAGAAATTTTTAATTCCTGCTAGGAGAGGAAATAAACATAATTCCTAAGTGAATACCTGCATGGGTCCACTGGTTCAAGTTCATATGCACAGGTAATTTACCATAAGCCATAATGGTCAGGATGAGGCCTCTTGTGAGACTTCAGTTTTAATGAAGTAAAAGATTTTACGTGTGAGATCCAGAAGTGGACTACAAACAGTAACATCATGGGAGGTGATGCAGATTGCACTCCCTTTTTATATGAATTACAGTGGCTGATTGCACAAAAAGCACCTTAGACTAGAGATCACTGCTGGGTCTTCATTGGCCTTTGAACACAGGAGTCTCCCACCTTTTTGGACTTGGTGCCTTTGTGCCCAGTTGGAAATGCAGGAAATGGAATTGAGGGAAGGTACTGCATACATCCATCCCGTGATGCTTTTGCTTTACTCTGCAGACTACCAGGGGATCATTTGGCAGAGAGGCCATATGGGTTGTGATGGTAGGATCCACTGGATGAGCACATCTGAGAACTGAAACCATCCTCATACAGAAATGAGTGTGTGTCTTTCATTTGTCATTGTACAGCAGGAGTAATCTGACTATACCATAAATGTTTTCTTGGAATCTAGGAAGCATCTGACAAGAAATCAGATCAAACACCTCATCTAGAATACCTCTGTAACACATGCGACCAATATAATCAATCTCTTATTAAGCTCAAGGTCTATCTGTATTCCAGGTTTGCATATTTAGTATCCTGTGATGATAGACATTTGAAATGCTGGTGAAGTAATTGTCCCAGCAACCAAGGTCACGGGAAGAGAGAGCGTTCTTCCTTAAATCCCTTTTCTCCTCCCTTCTGCTCCCCACCATCAGCACCACCATGCAGTAAAAACTCAGGATGTTCAGGTTTTAGAGGTGGGCAACTGGAGAATCTTTTATGGAATGTACAGTTAATATATTGATGAAAGTTGGATTTGTAGAGGAACAGTCTAAAAGCCATTTGCAAAGATTACATCTGCTGACTTTTCTTGGACCCTGAATTCTTGTCTTCCCAACACTGAAGCTGTAAGTGTCAAGCCCGTATCTGTGATGGTTTTTGTAGGCACGACTATGCTCACGGTTGACTGAAAGTGTTCTTCTGGACCCTTTGCATTAGGGAACTTTCCCTGTGCCTGCCATTATTCTGTACACCCAAGCCCAGCTCCTAGATTTGGTGCCCTTTGACATTCTGATTCCAGTGTACGGGAGGAATGCTTTGACAAGATATGAACTCTGTCAGAGTTTTTAATAATACCAGAATTCATGGAGCAGCTGGCAACAGGTCACGCCAAATACTGAAGGCAGCAGCTAACTTAAAACTGTCTTACCAGAGCTCTAAATTCCTTTAATTTGATTGTAACTTTTTGATAGATGGGGGAAGATGTGAGAAAGAGCAGACTTCACTTTTCCTTTGCTGCTTGTTGGCTTATTACACATCACATCTGATACTAATCCCTGGAGAGGCGCTCTAGTATAGTACTATGTTATTAGAAACATAGAAGGGATCACTTGGAGTAGATTACTGCCTATACACTGGGGAAGCACCAGTCTCCATAGCTTGTGTCTAACACAGACCAATAGTTAGCATACTTGACGGTCTTTTCCTCAGCATTCTTAAAACTGTCAAAAAGCGTCTTGGAGCATATGCAAGATTCTGTTTTAATAGTAGAGAACTATGCTTAAATCACAAAGATGCCTTCTGGATGCACATCTTTGCCAAATACTAGATGAGTTTCTATCCAAAACAGTTACCTACTTCTCTGAGTTATAGTTTCATGGCTTACTGGCAAATCCTGCTCTGCAGAAGTAGCCCAGGGCCTTGGATAAACAAGATAGAGACAGTGACTAAAGGTAACTTTATGCCTTCTTCCAGAATTCTGGTTGCTTAATTTAGTGATAAATTGGAAAACATTCCATACCTTTGTGCCTAAAATTGGGTTCTTTAACATTTAGTAACTCCTGTGGCAAGAGAACAAATTTAGAGTCCAGTGGCACCTTTAAGACCAATTAAGTTCTATTCATGGTATGAGCTTTCATGTGCACACACACTTTTTCAAAGGAATACGGCCACACAAAAGCTCATACCTTGAATAAAACTTTGTTGGTCTTAAAGGTGCCACTGGAATCTAATTTTTTTTCTACCTTCAAACCAACATGGCCAACCACTTGGATCTATCCTATAGCAAGAGTAAACTTCTGAAATGCTGGTGGCAGTTATAACTGCCCTCTTTTCTCCTCTCTGGAGACAATTCACGGAAAAATATTCCAAAATCCTGGATAGCATCGCTAGTGCTTTAGGGGCACTCTGAGGGAGAACTCTGATGTGTCAGATCCTGAATGGAAATATTTTTCAACATCCTGGGTTGTACAGAAGAGATAAATTCAGTCCCTTGCTTAGGCAAACAAAAGTAGTGCATCTGACTTTGACTAGCTGTTGAGAGAAGAGCTGTACTACAGGTCTGGAGCATCACAAATATGATGTTTTAATCAGCCCAGAATCTGAAATGTGAATGATTCTGGAAGGCATGTGCAGGAAGTGTACAGAAGTCACTGAGAGCAAGTGATGATGCTGATTCTTATGATCAGCATTGACTGCCATTCATTCTGATGTGCTGACACCGCTCCTCTGGAACCTCAACTGGCTTAAGAGGCCTGGTGCTTGAAGCACTCTTGTCACACAGAACACTGTAGGATCATGTCTTCATTCTGTTTGTGTTTTCCTTTTTGAATGGCTTGGCGGGACTTAGGTGTCCAGCCATATACAGGTTCTAGCTCGGAAGAAGGTGCGAGAGTACCAGGTTGGCATTAAGGTACGTTGGAGATCTGCCCATGCATCCATGGTGTGTGAGCATGGGCAGCCCCCTCTCCTTCCTCTCCTTTCCTCTGGTTGACGGCTCTGCTGTTTTTCCCCTCTCCTTCTGCTTTTCTCTCTGCAGGTCTCTAGCCACTTGCAGGTTCTAGCCAGACGGAAATCTCGTGAGATTCAGTCCAAACTGAAGGTACGCGCTTTTCCGGCTTTCCCACCTTTGAGCCATGGCCATGCTGGCAACTAACACGCTTTGCCCTGTGGTTGCCACTCTTTTCCTTTTTATGTCTTTGCCCCCCTCCCTTTGTTCCTGGGACCACGAATTTTCAAAATCCAGCTGAGGGAAGAGAGAGCTAGAAGGAAAGTGAGAGGGTTTTTTAAAAATTATTATTTTTAAAAACATCTCACGGTTTTCAAAAAGAAGATTTAAAAGCAGTGTTAACACATAAAATGAATGCACAATGGTGTTAAAACTAGCAGTTGACACAAATATAGTAAAGCTAATAGAGTAAACATTAAAAGATCAAACTTAACAATCAAAAGATTTTTGAAACAAGGTTTTTAATGTTACTTCAAAAGGACAAGAAGGGACTGTATGAACCTGTCAAAGGAAGGCATTCCGAAGCACAGTGCTTTGACAGAAAAGGCCCTGCTTCTTGGAGAATTAAGTATATTCTCCGTATGGAATGGTATCTGTAACAGGGTTGTATTTGCACATCAGAGAGATTCTCAGAAGCCGCCAGTGCATCTTTTCCAAGAAGGTGAAACCATCCCAGTTGCGATTAGGAAGATGGGGTAATGACTTCCCAAATCCCACTGAAGTCCATGGGTATGGCAAGCAGTGGTTGTACATTTCTCCACAGATATCTAGTAGTATTCCTTCAGCCAGTCTTTAGTTATTTACTCATCTTGCCTTTCTCCCTGATGAGGACCCAAAGCAGTTTATATCGTTCTCTTTTCCTCCATTTTACCCTCACAAAAACTATGCCAGGCAGGTATACCTCAGGTGCTAGTGTGCCACTGTAATCACAGAAATTGGGACCTTGTGTAAACAGGTGTCGGATCAGTGGTAGAGAGTGAGGAGGCATGGTAATAGCAAGCAGTAGTTGTTGCTACTGACAGAGGGGAAAGGTGCCTGCCATTAAGGATGTGCTCTCCTCACTTAACCAATCGGTTTTGGCAGTCCACTAGCTACCACTCTAGGTTCAAGATTTTCATTGTAGTTCTGGGTTGATCAGTAGGACAGAACTGCCCCTTAAACCAGGGTTGACCTAGAATGGCCACTGAAGCAACAGACCAAAACATCAGCAAAGGTAAAAAACATCTGCCCTGAAACAATTTTTGGCAGGCACTTTATATGGAAAAACTGTAATTATTGATTGATCGATAGGTAGATATACAAATTATGACCAGAACATTTTTCTCATACACAAGAGTTCATTATAATGGCTGTCAATGTGCAATTGAGGCCCACATGAATTAACTTTAGCTTAAATGTAGGAACAGGTAAGATTGAAGGGTATATTCTTTTTTCTGCCAAGTGGATAGAATTACAGCATTATCTGAGAAGGATATTTGGGTGCCCATGTCATGCGATGACCCAATTGGGATGGAGGAGCATGAAACTGTAGATCCTCATCTTCCACAGTGGCCTTGCTGTTTCTAATTCAGGAACAAGACTGGTGGACCAGGAGCTAAGGAAGTTGAGCAGAGATAAAACTGAAGAGCTTTTCTTCTCTGGTTGGCTTTCTTTTCCTCCTTTTTTTCTTTAACTGGAGATTGGCTAACCTTTCCTATAACTCTTTCCTCTGTATGTTCTGTGTATTGTGATTTACAGGGTAAGTGCCTATATAAGACACATGTGGGAGGAGGGTGTATTAAGGGGCAAGATGGGTATGAGGGTGAGGGGTATTTTGAAATATTATTGAATTTGTTCTCTGCCCATTGTTTTTTGTTCTATGCTTTGGAAAGTACCTAGAGATTCCAACCCCTATCAGCTAGGTAAGGTATCTCATCCAAGGCACCCAACCTCCCAGTCTAGAATCCACAAGACAACAGCAACAGTAAATAAGCTGGAGATACTCAATATGGACAGTATCCTGTCTTCCTATTGAAAAAGAAAATCCTGACTAGTCCACAAGCAGACTGAGTTTCTCCATATTTATTGGCCCAAGTGCTTAATTGTAATTAATTGGTAATGTGTCTCATTGTTCTAGATCAGTGTAAGATGATGGCAAAGGCCTTCTTAAAATCTCACTGTGTAGTCAGTAGCAAATGTCATGTGATTGTATGCAGTGGTAGATCATATTGGAATTCATCTGCTTTGTAGTATGTCTTTCAGAGAGGTAATAGCAATTCTGCCTTGGAGTTTGTGTTGGGACTTCTGCCATATCCTTTTAGGTTCAGGAGGCAAACTAAAGAGTGAATGCTGGAGCTTCAGTATATATTAGTTAGATCTATTTAATGCAGTTACTTTTCCTAAGCAGTTTAGTTTCTGTGTCTATATCTACATCCCCACAGATGGGGCTTTGTGCATTCCCGTACTGAAATAGTGGTTTTCATAACATCTCCTAGGACTCTATTGCCTTTACTGCCTTTTGTAGAAAAATATAATGTATATAGCATTGTTAACATAAAAACTAAAAATACTAGACGCTGCATACCAATTAAAAATATAGTATGCCCTTTCAGCAGGCTTATAATCTAATTAGTCAATATGGGAAGGAAGGTAAAAAAGGAGAAAAGAGATGTAGGTATTTACAGAAATATTCAAGTGACATTCAAGTATACATACTGATCTGTACATTGTTGCTGAAATAATCTCATTTGCTGTGCAGTAGAATTGGGGAGCCATTGATACAGTGCTTCTGCCATGTACCAGCTTTCTGGTTTTTATGGTTCTGTCTGCCCCATGTCTGCTCTACATCATTCAAAGTACACTTTGAGAAGTTAAGCTACACTCAGCTGCAGCTACTCTACAAACTGATGCATTGGAGGTTCCCAGCTGTGGCCTTACTCTGCTATTGTGAGCCCATCTGAGAGAACTTTTAAGTGATGTGTGCAGATGAAATATTCTGCAGGATTTTTGAAAAATTAGGGGCTGCTCCGAACCCACAACCAAATTATGCGGGGCGGTATCTGGGCAGCCGTCTATTAACAGGTATCGCTGGGTGTCATCAGCGTACTAATCAGGCCCATAGCTACAGTGGGGCATTTCAGGGTCCTGCCCCGCCCCACAAATAACCATGCCAGAAACCTTGCATCCCCACGAGCCTTTGGGAAACATGCTTTTGAAAGACTCACCATGACCCAGGTGGTCTACAGCAGAACTAGGCTAGCAGAAAGGAGGATTGTTGGAGATGTATTGAAAGTACCACTCTGGAGTGCCCTTCTAAGCTTTCTTGCCCCATGGAATGGAACTCAAAAGGCATTTAAATGCCTTCTGAAGGCAATTAAATACCCTCTGAGCTGCTTTTTCCTAGGAACTGATACGCTCGCTGCCCTATCCCTTGAAAGGAAGGGCTAGAAACAGGCTTGGCCTCCCCCTTTAAAGTCAGGTGTTCAGATTAATTTAATTTACTTTGATTTAACTGCCCCCTAAAAAAATTAACCCCCCCGAACAAAAAAATCCTGGCTACGGGCGTGGTACTGATGGCACCCCAGGCAAATTAACCCCCCCGACTGGGTAAGGGGGTGCATATAGATGTTAAACAAGATCGGGGAGAGGATTGCCCCTGAGGAACCCCACATGTTAAGGGGTACCTTGCTGAGAACCTCTCTCCCAGCTCCACCTTCTGTTTCCAACCAAGGAGAAGTGAGGACAGCCATTTCAGGGCTGCTCTACAAATTGCTGCATCAGTGAGGTGGTGGATCAAGAAATCGTAATTGACTGTGTCGAATGCTGCTGTGAGATCGAGTAACAACAGCAGCGCCCAACCCACCTCAGTCTAGCTGTCTGCGAAGATCTTCTGTCAGAGTGACCTGCACCATCTCTGTCCCATGGCTGGGGCAAAAACCTTACTGGAATGGGTCCAGTGCCAGTGTGTCATCCAGGAAACTCTGGAGCTGCTCAGCTACCACTCTCTCAGTTAACTTACCCAGAAACAATAAATTTGAAACTGGGCAGTAATTGGAAGGATCAGTAGAATCAGTAGGATCCAAAGTTGTTTTTTTCAAGACAGCGTCTTTGAGACCCTCTGGGACAGATTGATAATGTCGATCAGTGGGCCCCATAGCCTCTCATAGCCTCAGCACAGTGTTATTTCTTGGTTTTCTATGTCCAGTTGCCACCTTAAGGGAGGTCAGAGACAACCTGAATCTGTAGGCCCAAGCTAATATTTTATGTACTGTCTTAGGAATACCCCAATTAGTCCCTCCCAAAATACAAGAGCATAGTCTAATTATTTTGGTATTGCTCATTCTGCTTGATCTTTTGTGTCGAGTCTACTCTGAGAGTTGTGTGCACACAGCCCAGGCAGCTTGAACTCATTCATATAGCAGTGTGCTCTTATTTATTCTGTGTAATTATGCAACTATGTAGCAGAAGAGAGCACTGACGAGACCTCCTACTTTTTTTTTTTTGCTGGCCTCTGAGCAGTTTAGTGAAAGATCTACATACATGCCTGGATCAAGCTTCTAGAGCTGCAGAACAAGAAAGTCCATTGCAATGTTTTGCTAACTTCCTGCATACTTCAGCTGTTTTGCAAATGTAAAAAAGTTACCTGCCCCAATAAGGACAGACAAGTAACCTGTCTCTTATTGCCCACTCTTTTTTTTCTTATCCCAGTTGAACTATAAGCCCTAAATAATCAGGTGTACTTTGTTTGCAGAGTGAAACTCAGCTGTCTTTGATATATTGAAGTCCAATTATATTGATAGCTGTTGTGAATAATGTATACCCCAGTGCTCATAGTTCTGATAGAGATTCTAACAATGTTTATTTCTTTTCCTCTCAAACAGGCTATGAACTTGGTAAGTGCAGTTCAATTTATTCTCTTTTCCCTTTAATTTTCCAGTAGATAGGGTGCCACCATTGGAAATGCTCTAGAACAGGGGTGTCAAACTTATCTGTAGTGCTATTGTCAGATGTAGAGCCTTTTGTCTTTTTTCAGGACAGGAAATCATGCCCTATTTATTTTTAAACTCTTTTGTTTCCTGTTGAAAGTGTGTTTATGTTTATGAATTTCAATGGCTTCGCTGTGTAATCTGACATGGTAATTGGAAGCATTGTCCAGCCTTTCATTGTCTTGGAACAAAATACTGTGTCCTGTTTGAGTTTAAAAATAAATAGGGCATGGTTTCCTGTCCTGAAAAAGACAAAAGGCTCTACATCTGACAGTAGCACTACAGATAAGATTAGAATTTCAACAGCCAATCCACATACTAAAGAACCTCCTCAGGAAACAGGAAACCTCCTCAGGAAACAATCCATATACAAAAGAACCTCCCCAGGAAAGCTCCTCCATTAGCATGTTCATAGCCTGGAGAACTCCTACAAGATAATGACTCAGCCCTACCCCACCTTCCTGAGTAGATATAAATTACCTGTCTACCATTTTCTTCTCACCTTGACACAGAGAGTACGCCATCTTTCTGTGTTATACCTCTGAGGATGCCAGTCACAGTTACTGGCGAAACGTCAGGTTCTACCATGCCAAGACCACAGCCACACAACCCGGAAAATCTACAGCGACTAAAAAATAATATTGTTAATTGGGTCTGCCTGTGTCGTTTATAAAGTTTATATGTCCAGTACATGGCATTACATTTTATTACATGGCCCAGTCCGACAAAGTGACATTTATGTCAGATCTGGCCTTCATAACAAATGAGTTTGACGCATCTGCTCTAGAAGGTCCAAACCCTGATTTTTCAACTGAGACTGAAAAGAAGTGCCAGGTTTTTGAAAGTAGCAGATTAATATCCATCAGACTTAACACCTTTTGGAGAACTGGACCATGAATTTTGCTAAACACCAGCATGGATGCTTGTGTTCTGCTTCTCTTAACTACATGCTTGCTGTATCATTTTTAACATTGAGCGAGTTGAATCTTTGAAAGTGAATTCTGGGTGGCAGGATTGCAAGCTTCTGGTCTGTGCTCCTGAGAAACTACTTATACGAGTGGTTCCCTGATTGTAAACCAACAGGCTTAATGTGATCAATAAATGTTATGCCGCCCTGAGCCTGTTTGTGGGAGGGTGGGGTACAAATTGAATAAATAATAATAATAATGATAATATAATAAATTGGTGCTCAACCCCAAAAAACTGCTACTTATTATAGCCTTGAAAAGTGTGAGTTAACTGTTCTTTGTGTCTCTTCTCTCTTTCTGTCTCTGTTTTTGAAAGGATCAGGTCTCGAAGGACAAGGCTCTGCAGAGTATGGCTTCCATGTCGTCTGCACAGATTGTCTCTGCCAGTGTCCTGCAGAACAAGCTCAGCCCCCCTCCGCCACTCCCTCAGGCTGTCTTCTCTGCTGCTCCCAGGGTAAGAGAGGCTCCGGTATGTCCCTGCCTTCTGTGTGAGGGTCACACCCAGAGGGAATGACTTTGAGGGTAGATCTGACCATGGTTTCAGCTTCTTCTTCCATGGAGGGAGGGTGGGGCTGGATGTGGCACACGTGGAGATGACACCAAGATCCAAGTGTGTATTTAACTCTGTAATCAACCTGAATCGGTCTTTAGCTTAGAACTTTTGGGGCATGTATTCTGTTCAGTATTTGTTCCACACCCAGTATATCCTCTTTATCCTATCCTTCCTTACCTCCCCTTGTCCCGCCTCCCCAAAAAACATACTTTTATAAACCTGACAAATGCATAAACCTAACAAATGCAACTACGCATGCAGGGCCAGTGTAACCATTTGGGTGCCCCAAGCGGGCAAGGCACAGGGGTGCAACAATCGTGGCACATACTGGGAAGGGGAGCCACCAGTTTGCTGTAGTGGTTAAGAGCACGGACTCTAATCTGGGAGAACCGGGTTTGATTTCCCACTCCTCCCCATGCAGCTGCTGGTGTGACCTTGGGTCAGTCATAAGTTCTTTCAGAGCTGTTCTCTCAAGGACAGTTCTGGAGAGATCTCTCTTAGCCCCACCTACCTCACAGGGTGTCTGTTGTGGGGAGGGGAAGGGAAAGGGATTGTAAGCTGCTCTGAGACTCCTTCAGGTAGTGAAGGGCGGGGTAGAAATCCAGTCTCCTCTTCTTCATCATCCTTGTGGTACCACTTCAGAGGCCAGGATGAGCTTCAGAAGCATTACTTCTGCAGCCTGTTCTGGAATCAAGGTGCACCAACATAGGCCAGAGCGACATCCTCTCCTCTTTGGTGTTGCTACTTGTGTCCAGGGCAGGAGAGAGTTGAAGGTTTTGCATTTTAAAAAAGCTTTCATCTCCATCCTGCTCCCAGAACATGCTCTTGTCCTCACCTTGTTCTTCTCCTCCACATGCCCATAATCATTGGGACTTTGATAACTTTTGAAAGCACTGCCCTGACCCTAGAAATTCAGTTGGGGTGGTGCGTCTCAAGGATGTCTGAGTCGTCCTCTAATTACAGTCAGAAGGAGGAAGAGTGACTGGAGGGGAGCATAGGAAAATGATACGATAGCCGAAGAAGCCACTGTGGCAAAAAGGTTGCCCCCCCCCCCCATGGTGCCCAATGCTGCTTGTGCCATGAACCAGTCCTGTTCTCATTATTCTCTATTCTATAAACGTGACCAAACTGTGGCAAATCTAATCCATACCTCTCTCCCCCCGAGGTTCACTGGTGAATGGGGAAATGCCCAGCTTTTTGTAAAACGCCAGACTGCTCCTATCCTAACTTTTCTTAGCCTTGTAGTCAAAGTGTTTTCAACCTGCAGAAAATATTATATAGGCTGGCTGTTACCTTAAATTACAATAAAATCCCTTAGACTGTTTTGATCAGAGCCATGGAAGCTTAGAAGTCAGCTATCTGGAATACTCCTCATTTTGTTTTCTGTGTTCATTTCCTTAGTTTTGGAGTGGGCCTATCCCAGGACAGTCTGGACCTTCTCAGGAGTAAGTAAACACATCTGTTAGTCTTGAATAAATCTCTCAAGGAATAGCTGCTTAGAATTTGAAATTGTAGCGCTTAAGCAATACACTGATGTAGGGTTCTTGAATTGTTCCACAGAAACTGATGCTAATTTGCTGTGTCTCTGAGCAAGCTGCTTATTTATTCCTGGGATTCTAAACCAGTGTATTCATAGTCTTTCCATTCAAGAATAGTGTGCCACTTCAGAAACAGTGACAGAGGCTGCTACCACATGAAGATGATTCTCTGTGAAGCTCTCATTGCTGCTGCAAAGGCAGAGGCATTTGCACTGGCAATGAAGCATCCACACTTCGATTCCCCCTCACTTTCCTTGTCTTAGCCTTCCACGGCTGCCATTTTCCCTCCTGCCACTGGAGGGATTTTTCAAGGTTTCAGTAACAGGTATAGTGCAGATAGCCCAGGCTAGGCAGATCTCAGAAGCTAATTAGGGTCAGCCCTGGTTAATATTTGGATGGGACACCACCAAGAAAGTCCAGCATTGTGACACTGAGGCAGGCAATGGCAAGCTAGCTCTGAACGTCTCTTGCCTTGAAAATCCTACTGGGTTGGGGGGGGCGACGCTACGGAACATGGCGCTCGCTTAAACCGCGGTCTCCAGCCCTGAAACCCCTCCTCATACACCACATAAAGTAGCAGCCAACGAAAAAGCGGATTAACTGATGGGAAAATCGGGCAGAACACAAGCACAATCTCCGAAGGGTAAAAACAAGTCAATTAAGCACTATTTTATAGCCGAAAATAGTAAAAAACAAAACGACTCAGAGGCTTTAACAAGAAACAAAATGGCCAATGGAGCTTTTTCCGAGCCTAACAAAACGCCTTTAAACGCAGGAATGCTCCACTGAATGATAAGCTGACAGAAATAAGCTGATACGCTGACACAGACAGCGAAAACAACTGAAATGGCATTCACTCTAGCACAAACAGTTCAAGAGGAAACTTGCATGCTTCAGGGAGAGACAGAGTCACTAAGAGATCGTGTGTTGCTTACCTTGAAATGTCCCAGCACCAAAATAATCTTAAATTTCGCATTCTCCCAGAAGGAATTGAAGAGAATAATGATCTCATTTGCTTTATGGGAAACATGATCGCAGCAGAACTGGGAGCTGAGGAAGGAGTCTTCCCTGTAATTTCAAAAGCCTTCAGAAGGGGGCCTCCAAATGTCCCAAACGGAAAGTTTCCTAGAGACATTGTAATAACCCTGGCAGATCTTCGGGTGCGCAAAGCAATTTTAAATCAAACTAGACGAAACGGTCACCTCACATTTCAGGAAATTAACATATCAGTCCTGCCTGATGTACCACCAGAGCCTCTTCAGCTTAGAAAAACTTTGAAACCAGTCACCTCAAAATTACAAGAAGCTGGATATAAATACAAATGGACTGCACAAGGAAAGCTCTTAGTGATACACAAGGGGCGGGACCCGCGATACTCGCGGGGGGGGAGGGACCTTCACACATGAGGCAGAGGAGGAAGCAGCAGGAGGAGGTAAGTTCCCCCCATCCCACTGGTTCCTCCCCGTCTCCTCCACACACACCCCGCTCGATCTCCCCCCTTGCCTTCCCCCCCCCCGGCTTCAAAGCAAGGCGGGCCCCGCTGTTCCCCCCCCCCGGCTTCAAAGCAAGGCGGGCCTCGCTGCTCTCTTCCCCCCCCAAGCGACGGTGGCAAGGGAGTTCGCAGAGCTTTCCCTGCGCATGCGCAGGGGACGCTCTGTCACTTTTGGGGGGATTTAAGTATCCCCCTGATACTTTTTCTGGGTTTTTAGATTTTTGTGCACACCTGGGGACTGCCCCAAGTGTGCATGAAAATCTCCCTCCCCCCCAGGTGCCCCCGATGCGCAGATTTAGGTATCTGCACGCACAGGGGCGCCTTCGCTATTAGTATATAGATCATGAACATCAATTCATAGCTCAAGATGAAGACAGTGGCCAAAACCTGCTGAAAGCACTTCACCTCGACGATCCCATGGAACTGGAGTTGAAATCTTACAAAAGAAAATTCCCAACTGAATCTCCTGAAAAACTAACAAAGCTCCCAGCACGTTAAAGTTTTTATTTGTTATTAGCAGGATAAATCATCTGAGTTTATGCCAAGATTGTGCCATAGTTACAATTAATTTTGAAAAATATTTTTAAAAATGATAATAGAAATGCATGGCTGCTTTTCTTGTTCTATGATGTTAATTCATTAAGGGTGTGTGGAGGGGAGGGGGAATGAGAAGGTTTAACGCTCCTTAATTGATTAACTGTTAGAGTAATTTATAGATTGATTGATTGTAATTGATTGTACTATTAACCAAAGTTTTCTGCTTTAAAATTAACAGGCCATAGTGCATACTACTGATAATTTGACAGACTACCTGACAATAGTTGACTGTTTAATTTTGTGTCACTGCTATTAAGCTTCCTCAGGTAACGTGTACACATATAAAAACAAAACAAAGATTAAAAGCCTCACAAAAATAATACAACAGGACACATTGCAGACATATTACTCACGTTTGTGGTTTGCAGTTAAATACATTGCTGATTGCTTGTAAGAGAGAAAATCCTCCACTGAATTGTATGGACCAACAAATCCTTAATGGTAGAAGTTTTCCTAAACCCTATAAAGGGTTTGTTGTTACATCCTGGCACATCCCTTAAAATGTGCCAATGTTTAAGGACAACCTTCTTAATGGACTATGCCAGTGAAGTGTAGTCAATAGCCCAACTGAGAATTGTATTAAATTAAGGAAGAATTGCTGAAGGGGGAGAATTCTGCTCAGAAGGAATTTATTAATAGTTCAGAATTTCACACACAATCCTACTTCATATCTGTTTTAATATACTATTAAATGACTCTTACAATTTTTACACACCATAGGTAGCACATTATAGCAAGTAGGAACATTAATAGTTACTTAACCAATTATTACCTTTAACTTCAGGAAACCTTGACACCACTGCTTCTTAAGTAATTCTCATATTGTTTTATTTAATGGATTTTCTATATTGAAGGTTATACAGTATACAGTGTTTACTGCTTGTTAATTTTTAATCTTAATTAATTGACTGTTTCTGATTGCTGATTTTAGTCCACCATTTATTATAGATAAGTTTAGTAACTAATTAAAACTAGAGAATACAACTTACCTAATTGTCAGGTAGAATACCCAGAGCACAATTGCCTGTTTGAACCTATACTGGTCATGGATAATTTAAAAATAAGCTCAGTCAACATCCGAGGTCTAGGCAATTTAATCAAAAAGAAAAGAGTGCTTCAGTATGTGAAATCACTTCACACATCTATTTTATTTCTTCAAGAAACACACACAAGTTCTGACACAGTTCCAATTCTGAAAACTCCGTTGTTCCCGATACAACTCCAATCTCCGGGGACTTCTAAATCATGGGGAGTAGCTATTTTGTTTTCAAAGAGTCTTAATTTTGTTTTGAAAGACACAAAAAGAGACCAAATGGGAAGATTTTTATTTGCAAAAGGAACAATTGATCACGCTGGCGACATGATCACGCTGGCGACAGTGTACGCCCCAAATCAAAATCAGTTCACCTTTCTGCAAGATACTTTAACATTGCTACAAACATTTAGAGGGGGTGACCTCATTGTTGGTGGAGACTTAATCCTTGCTGCAGACAATACACTGGACAGATCCAACACGTCACCCAGACACCCGGTTTCAGCTAGAATGGCAACCTGTCTCCAACCCGTTAGACAAATTCCAGCTAATAGACACATGGAGGACGCTTCATCCTACAGAAAGGGACTATTCATTCTTCTCAGCAAAACACAACAACTTTTAAAGAATTTATTACCTCTTAACCTCGAGATCACTCCTACCAACATTGAGTTCAGCAAAATTGGTTCATGTCATCTTACGGACCATGCATGAATAGATTGTACTTTCAAAAAACCCACAGAAACTCACACAGACAGACAATGGTAATTAGATATAAAGATTTTATTAAAAGAAACAACAAGAAATAAAATAGAAGAGGACATTAAACATTTTTTTGAAGAAAACCCTGTCCTGGACACGACACCGGCCAACACCTGGGATGCAATGAAGGCTGTCATTTGAGGCTCTATTATCTCATTAACATCACACCTGAAGAAAGAGAGAGAAAAAATTAAGAGAGAAACACTCCAACAAATTACAGCACTAGAAACGGAGCACAAGTGCATGGGAAACAAAAAAGCATATCCGAATGTAAGGTTTTAGAAATAATGGAAATTTTGCAAATTCAACGAAATCTCCTTTATATAAAACAGTGCTATTGGCAAAAATCCTCAAAGAACATACATCTCCTGGCATGGAGAGTAAAAGAGAGAAAAAGAGCACTGGTAGTGGGCTCTCTGAAACATCAATCGGGCAAGATACTCACCACTCCCAAAGGTATAACACAAGCTTTTGCAACATTTTACAAACAATTATATCAAACCAAAGATCTGGACATAAAAAACATAGCAACTTACCTTAATTCTCTCGGCCTCCCAAAACATTTGTCTTCAGTACACTCCAAGCTCATGGATAATCCAGTTATGGCTCAAGAGCTGCAAGACACAATTAAAAATCTGAAAACCAATAAATCACCTGGAATGGATTGCCTTCCAGCCGAATTTTACAAAGCATTTCGCAGCACCTTGATACCCTCTTTACTTTATGTATGCAACAAAATACTCAATGACGGTCAAATGCTTGCTTACTAGTTGGAATCCTCCATCATCGTGCTTCCTAAGGATAAGAAAGACCCCACTAACCCAGCATCTTACCGACCAATTGCATTAATTAACAATGACGCGAAGATCTTCACCACAATACTGGCAAATCGCCTGAAATCTATAGTCTCGGAATATGTACACCCAGATCAGACGGGTTTTATCCTGGCCAGACAACTGACTGACAATATTCGCCGCACACTCAACATCATCACATCAGGGGGGAAAGGCTCTTCTAACACTTTGATTCTGTCATTGGACTTCGCAAAGGCCTTTGACTCTATTGAACCAGCATTCATGATGGAATTATTTCAAAGGTTAGACTTTGGACCCAGATTCATGACAGTGCTGCGGCTTATATGGTGCAACTCATCAGCCAGAATCAGGGTCAATGGTCACAATTTACTTTCTTTCATCCCTCGCGAGGAACACGTCAAGGCTGCCCACTCTCCACTGATTTTCACGATGGCACTTGAACTACTAACAGAAAAACTCGGCAAGGCAAAAGATTTATCGGGACTCATCATCAATGGTACAGAACATAAAATGACAGTGTATGCAGATAACCTCATGTTATGTTTCCAATCCCCCAAAATCCTTACCAACCATCTGCAAAATCTTGGAGGACTTTGAGAAAGTCTCAGGTCTTCGTGTCAACACACACAAATCAGAAATCTATCCTATATGTGTATCATCAGATGAAAAAAAAAGATTTTACTAAAGAGTTCCAATTTTCATGGGTACAATCTTCATGGAGACATCTGGGAATACAGATACCACTTGACCTCAAAAATCTAATATGCAACTTCCACAAACTACATAAGGACACTCAAAAGTGATTACAGGAATGGAATGCTCTCACGCTTACGCTACCAGACAGAATATATCTGATCCAAAGTTTTATTTTCCCCAGCTTTCTCTTTCTTTTCAGGGCCTTACCCATCAAAATTTCAGACACTGACCTCAAAACATGGCAGGATTCTCTAAATACATTCATCTGGGTTTTCAAAAAATTGAGACTTGACCGTCAAATCCTATCTTGCCCCATACACAAGGGCGGTCTCAACTTACCAAATCTGAGAGGCTACTATCAAGCAGCTGCTATCTCAAACGCGATACAAATGATGCAAAATGTACCCACAAACAATTGGATGTCCATACAACAAGGTCACACAATACCACTCACACTTTGTGAAACCATCTGGAGCTCCAGCAAACAACGCCCAAAACAAGTTGCAGATAACCCCTACTTGACACACACACTACAAATCTGGGATGAGCAAAGAAAACACCTATTACCAGCCATCTCACCTCTTTCTTCCTTTACTCACCAAGACTGGTTTCCTCCAGGTCAAGAACCAGACACATTCCAGGACTGGATGACAGTGGGCTATAATTTCCTCTAAGATCTGGTCCTACAAGGGAAGATAATATAAAAATTACAATTTGAGGACAAGATCGGCAAACCAATCTCCTGGCTCCATTATTACCAACTGGGAAGTCTTATAGGTCGTTTGTCAGTCTCTGGCATCTTCAAGAGAAACAAGTCACTCTTAGAAATAATCATCGAGACCCACTCGGAACATTCAAAACATCTGCTCTCAAAAATATACAAAGTCCTCATAGATTTCCAGAGCACATCGAAATGGAAGTATCAAACTGCATGGCAAAAAGATCTTGACACACAACTGACGGAACATCATTGGTCTTCTATCTGGTCCACCTTAGCTAATAGTTCCAAAGTCTTCAAAATCAGATTTCAATTTTTTAAATTAGTCTCACGATGGTACTACACCCCAAGCCGGTTACATCACATGAATAAATCTTACTCACCGTTATGTTGGAAGAACTGTGGAGTAGTGCTGGTGGAGTTGTCCCCACATCCAACAGTTCTGGAAGACCGTTGTCACTGAAACAACAAGATAACCTTGCAAAACCAGATGACCCCAGAAAGCATACTTCATCACCTCAGAGACCCAATGAAAGGCGAAGACCCTCTCCAACGCTTAACATCATATATGCTCATAGCAGCCTCACTTACCATCGCAACTGTCTGGAAGTCAGACAAACCACCAACGATGGAGGAATGGAGAAACAAAATATGGGAATTCTTCATCATAGATAAAATAACCAAAGTATTAGACACCTCTCGAACATCACAATGCACAACACACTCCAAATTCACAAACACCTGGTTCCCATACTTACAATTCATGTCAGAAAACGATCTCCTGGCAAAAAAATCTGAACTTTGCATCGTGGCTTCATTTTTAAATAAGTGATACTCTTGAATCTTTGACAACACAGCACTCTGGATGACCCTAGTTATTCATGTTCATGCTCATGTTTATGTCCATACCAGTATATAGTACTCTCAGGCAACGCGTAAGTGATACCTTCTTGTTGCATCATTATCCCTTCTGTTCTGAAGCTTATGTTATCCTATTTGTCTTGTTACTCTGTTAAAATTCTGCGTTGTATGTTACTTAAAAGTTGAAATTCTTTTGTTTGCACTTACACTTAAATAAAATTTAAAAAGAAAAGAAAATCCCATTGGGTTGCCATAAATCAGCTGTGACTTGACGGCAAAAGAAACCCCTGTTATATGAATATATCAATTTGTTGCAACAATGTGCTAGTTCCCAGTTTTCATTTTTAAAAGCAAGTCTCTAACACTTTGGGTTGCAGAATTATACAGAGATATGTGCAGCCAGTAGGGATGTGCACCAAAGAAAAAATTCAGGAATTTTCAGATTCATTATATATTAAAAAAAACCCAGAAAATAAAAATAAAAATTGGGCTTTCTGGAAAAACCTGAATTCTGCCAAGCATATGGTTGAAGACAGCAATGGTTTTTAACAGTTTAATAGTTCTTAATAACTATCTGATTTACAATCTGCTTCCCACCCCTCTTCCCCCATCACTAATGTAATCTGGGGGGGCAGATTTGTATGATGACACCATATGGCTATTGGGTTTTAGGAGGGGACCTGTCGACAGTGTTCGCCACCGTCAACCATCAGCTACTGATCCACCGCCTCACCGACGTTGGAATTCAGGGGCTGGCCTTGCAGTGGCTTGCCTCCTTTCTCCAAGATTGGGGACAAAGGGTGACTCTAGGGGAACAGCTATCCTGGAGGCACCCACTGGATTGTGGTGTACCTCAAGGGGCAGTGCTGTCCCTGATGCTTTTTAACATCTATATGCACCCCCTTGCCCAGATTGCCCGGAGGCATGGGCTGGGTTGTCACCAGTAGGCGGATGACACCCAGCTCTATCTGCTGTTGGACGGTCAGTCCGACTAAACCGGAAGAGCTGGACCAGGTGCTACAAGCCGTGGCTGGTTGACTTAGGCTGAGCCGACTGAAAGTGAATCCGACAAAGACAGAGGTCCTGTGCCAGGGTCGGAGTGAGCCGGGGTTAGGGATCCCACTCCTGACCTTCAATGGGGCACCATTGGTGCCAGCGCTGGAGGTTAGAAGTTTGGGAGTGCTCCTGGATGCCTCCTTAACTATGGAGGCCCAGGTAGCAGCCACTGCCAAATTGGCCTTTTACCATCTTTGGCTGATCAGGCAGTTGGTTCCCTTTCTCGAATGCAACAACCTGGCGACAGTGACTCATGCGATGGTCACCTCGAGATTGGACTACTGTAATGCTCTCTACATGGGGCTGCCCTTGTCTCAAATCCGGAAGCTGCAGCTTGTGCAAAATGCCTTGGCCAGGCTCTTGATGGGGCTCTCTAGACGGGAGCACATACAGCCTGTACTGAAGGCACTGCACTGGCTGCCGATAGCATACTGGATTCGTTTCAAGGTGCTGGTTCTTACCTTTATGGCCAGGGTCCTACATACCTTTCCCCATTTCCCGATATATACCCCATATATACCCCTTTCCCCATATATACCCCAGAGAGCACTGTGATCAGGGGCCCAGAACTGGCTGGCCCTCCCGGGTCTTAAGGAGGCAAGGCTGTTGATGACCAGGACCAGGGCTTTCTTGGTGGCTTCCCTATCCTGGTAGGAGGAGATCAGGAGGAGATCAGGGCCCTGCGGGACCTTTTACAGTTCTGCAGGACCTGTAAAATGGAGCTCTTCCACCAGGCTTTTGGGAGGTGCCGCCACCACCAGTGAAGAACATTGGATGGTTGAATGTGAGAGGGCCCTGGATTCCGGAAATTGCCACCACTGCAAGGACAATCAAAATGAACACTGTGAGCTGACTGCGAGCTGAGAACTCTGAATAATGGCTGCTACCGTCGTATGAACAACAACGACTACTAGCACTTTATTATGGTTTTAGAATTGTTTTAATTGTAACTTATGTTTTAATGTAACTTATCTGTTTTTATGTAAGCCGCTCTGAGCCGGCTTCGGCCGGGAGGGCGGGGTAGAAATATCGAAAAATAAATAGATAAAAACACAGAGTGGCATATTTGTCTGTGTCAGCTTCTCCAGTATAAATACTACAGTACCAAAAAAAGCCCCAAGAAAGCAGTTGTTTGCTGTTGACACCCAACAAGTTAATACCAATAGATTACAATGGTCAGGCCCCCATGAACTGGTTGCTTTGTCTGGAGAGAAAAGAGTTCTTGTTTTGATTCCTGCTGCTCATAGAGTAGGAAAGACAGGTCAGGGGCCAAAACTGAGAAGTGATGGTTTTGGATCTGTGAGAAGCTCTTACTGGTTTCTCATACTGAAAGCCAGCTGGTGAAGTAGACAGGCAAACGGACAGACTAGGACCAGGAGAACTGGGTAACCTTGGGCTGTTCGCTGTCTCTGTCAGCCTAATGTTCCTCACAGGGTGGCTATAAAAATAAAAGGGGGGAGGGAATCATGTATGCCACCCTTGGAGGAAGGAGGGGAGTAACATGATAAATTCGGAATAATAAAAGAGATACATCTATCTTTGACTGATTTGAGGTGGAGATGGATAGGAGGAAAGCTTATAAAATAAGATTCTGACTAACCTGCATCACCACTTATTTTGTTTTTCAGCATTAAACCTTTTACACAACCAGCCTACCCCATCCAGCCACCCATGCCTCCATCACTAGCCAGTAAGTGGCCTACTTCACTTGATTTCTCCCAATTGTTTGCCTCCAAGTTCATCAGAGTTTTATAAGCTTCCCTTCTCCCGTTCTTACCTCACTTATTTATTTATTTATATTTCGTTCAGACCCTCTCTAAGCCGGATTTTTTTTGTTCCTTGTCCAGCCAGGATAGTTGAGTTCTCCAGTTTCCTTCGGACACTTTGCCCATCTTATTAGTCCATTTTTTAAAATTTGAAGTTTATTACAGTCTGTCCTAGAGCACTGCTCTACCAGCAGTGCTCTAGAATGCACTGTGATTTCAACCTTCATATCGCATGGTTGTGCTTACAAGGGCTTTATGCAGAAGGCTAGGATTCCCTGTGTGAGTGAATCTAACTCCTTCAACCTATACATTCGCCCAGCTAGGGCGATGTGTCCCTTAGTCTATCATCACAACAAGAGCAAACCAGTGTTGAGCTGCCATATCTTTACCACCAAGGTCACATTGCATTGGCGAGGAGCATCTGAATACAAATACAGAGGTACAGCAAAAGTTCTGACGCAGGAGACGGAGAAGTTCTGTGCAGATCCCACCAGAGTTATTCTTGATCTTGCCATTTTGTGCAAAACCTCCTTAATCTGACAAATTTCATAGGGACAGCAGTCTGCTGCGCCCCAACCTGCATAGAGCTCAAAAGTTATTTAGACTGCCCTTTGAGGTTTGTGTATATGAATCCGAGAGCTGGTGTGGTGTAGTGGTTAAGAGCGGCAGACTCTAATCTGGAGAACCAGATTTGGTCCCCGACTCCTCCACATGAAGCCTGCTGAGTGACCTTGGGCCAGTCATAGTTGTCTCAGGACTCTCTCAGCCCCACCTACCTCACAAGGAAAGGAAGTGAAGGCGACTGGAAGCTGCTTTGAGACTTCTTAGGGTAGAGAAAAGTGGGGTATAAAAACCAGCTCTCCTTCTTATATTGAGTATTCTAACTCAGCACTCCCTGCCGTGACTTGCGTGACTTCCTAGGGTTTCAAGCAGAGAAAGGCCTTTCCCAGCACCTTTTGCTGGAGATGCCAAGGACCTTGTGCATGCAAAGCAGACGCTGTGCCAGTGAACTACTGCTTGTCCCTAAAGCCATGGTGTCAGGAGTGGCATGCAAAGCAGACGCTGTGCCAGTGAACAGTCCCTAAAGCCATGCTGTCAGGAGTACTATTTGAATCCATATTTCCCTTCAGAGACCAGAACACTGCACGAGGGCAGGCAAGGCTGTGCCTTCAGTCTGGTGCCTTAAATCACTCGGCTGTCCTGATGCATCAGTTTTCACCAGCTGCAAATCTGTGAGGTGTGTGTATGTGGATGGAAAACCTACCTGATCACAGGAAATTGTGGAATTCTCTAGGAAACGGATTTGTCTAATGACACTTCTCATGCTTTGCATCTAAAGACACTTCTCTGGGAGTAGGGGTGTGTTGATTGCACATAAATGATAGATTACTCAAGGAGGATGGTCTCTTTTTGTGCTATCCCAGAGCTTCATCTGGAGTTTAGGAGATTGCTAATCACTTCCACCCTTTTCTTTATAAGCAGACTTCTTTTCAGGTCCTGGGAATCCAGTCTGCTTCTGGTGTCTACTAAATCTCTGAGCAGCTCAGAGCTTTTTTAATAACCAAATGTATAAATGTAAACTATGAATACACTTAACATTCCAGTAAGTTGAGAAATTTCATGCCACTTAAATTAGGCAATAATGAAGAAAAAGTCCTTGACTGCTTGGAAAGATGGGCTGCACAGCTAGATGTCTAGACAGCACACTGGGCATTCACCTCACCTCTGCAGCTGAAATCTCCCCTGGAGTTCTCAGAAATGCTGGAATTCTTTCTTCTTCTAGGCTACGAGCCCCTGGCTCCTCTCCCTCCTGCTGCCTCGGCTGTGCCAGTCTGGCAGGACCGTACGATCGCCTCCACCAAGCTGCGGCTCCTGGAGTATTCAGCATTCATGGAAGTGCAGCGTGACCCGGAAACGGTAACGCTTAGGAAAGATGATCTGCTGTCAGTGCAGGCGAGGGGGGTGGGGAGATGCTGGAACTTAGCTAATGGAACCTGTTCTTAAAAGTAGCAGGTTCCTTCAGTTAGGACCTAAGACTGCCTGCTGCTTATGTGTGAAAGGCAGGCATTACTGTGACTGGCATTAGGCCAGTTGGTGGTGTTTGGTAATGAGGGAGCAGAGCCTTAAGTTTCTTGGTGCAGCATCAGCGGGAGCGTCTGGTTCCCTTTGCCATGGCTGAATCTTTGTGGAAGGGAAAGGTACCATCTGATCCCACATGTTTGTGCCTCTTGTTTCTCCCCCTACAGTATAGCAAGCACCTCTTTGTGCACATTGGGCAGACTAACCCCTCCTACAGTGACCCCCTGCTGGAGGCAGTGGACATCCGCCAGATCTATGACAAGTTTCCAGAGAAGAAAGGTGGCCTGAAGGAGCTCTATGAGAGGGGGCCTCAGAACTCCTTTTTCCTAGTGAAGTTCTGGGTAAGAACCAAGCAGGGCTGAGCAGTACTTTAGAAAACCCATTCTTAAGATTCTTAGACTCAAACTAGTCATGACTTTTAAATAGTCAGGTCTGGCTTTCCCATACCTGACTTGTGTTCCTGCAGTCACACAGGAGCTACAGGGAACTGCCTTTTGAAGAGCCTCAGAGGCCCAATTCTGCTGGGGATGGTGGCATGGGGGAGGAGGGTCCCTCCTGCCTTTCTGCTGTCCATTTTGGATCTGCACAGCATTAGAAGTAATAATGTCAAGTTGGATCCTTAACTGCTCAACAGCAATAGAGTAAGAGGCAAAGCATAAATAACAGTTCATCAGAATAATTTGGGCTGGCAGTGAAACCAGAGAATCTTGCTGTAAATAATTTCCATTATTCTCTAATCAGAACCTGAACGGGGCATAAACCAGTCAGTCCAACATTAAACCAGTTTTGCATTGGGTGTGGTTTCTCCAGTTTTTGTATGCTAAACACACTTGGACCAGGTGGCAAGATAGGAGCTAGTTCCTGAATGGGAACCTTTCAATTTGGTACCCTTGCTAATAGCATACTTTCAGGTTTAAGAAATATCATTGCCTTGTGTTCTGGTTCCCGTAGCACATGCTGTAAGAATGGCTGGCATCTGTATTTATTTTACCTGCATTTTCTAGTGACATTTGACCTTGAACCTGTTAGGTATGTTTTGAATACACCCAGTATTCCCATTCTGCCCCCCACCCTTTGCATAAGAACAGTTTTTGTTTGATTAGTGAACATCAAAATGATGCCTATAAGTGCCACGGTACCTGCTGATGTGTTTCCTGGTGCCCACTTGCTACTTCTTCCCAACACTTCTTGAACCTTCCAACATCTTAATGTTTGGACCCAGCCCCCATGGAAACCATTTTGTGATTGGTTCCTCCCCTTCCCATAACTGTAATTTTGTTCTGGAACCTATTACCTGTCCTCAAAATTCTAGAAGTGCACACAGGTTTAATATGAGTAGGGACCCGTGACATAGAGTGTAAACTGAGCATCTTCGGTTCATCTATTCAGCTTTTGACTTTAAAAGTGTGGTAGCGTAGTGCAGTGAATAATGCTTGGACCAGTTTGAAATTGGAATGCAAGTTGCAGCTCAGTCATTCACCTCTGGGTGGAGGCCCTGGACAAGTCACATACTCTAAATCTCCATCTACACAATGAGCACAGTAGTGACTTGCCTTGAGTGATTGTGGTGAGGTTGACTGAGATAAGGCTTACGAAGCACTTTTTTAATGGTTTAATGCCAGTATAAATTGTTAGTGATATCACCATGGAAACACTTTTCATGTCAGCATCTCTTTCCCCCAGTGCATGCATCCCAAAACTCTGTCAAAACCCTGTTCATCCGTAACAGAAACTGAGAATTCCTTGTAATTCACCTTTTTGTAACACCTCCTTACTGCCGTTGCTGTAGGCGGATCTGAACAGCACCATTCAGGATGGTCCTGGTGCTTTTTATGGTGTGAGCAGTCAGTATAGCAGTGCAGAAAACATGACCATCACAGTCTCCACTAAGGTGTGCTCCTTTGGGAAGCAAGTAGTCGAGAAGGTGGAGGTGAGTCCTGGGGTTCTGTGTATATGGGACCAGCTAGAGGGAGATGGTGTAAGGGAAGGAGAACTGCATATTCATCAATGTGGGATAGGAAGTTAAGCCTCTGTTCCAGCTCTAGAAGGGAAGCTTAAAACCAAAAGGGGAAAGTGCTCTGAGTCTTGTAGTTGCTGTAGATGAGTGGGTTCCATGAATAGTGAAGGTATCTGAATATATCCTGGATTCCATATACACATCTTTGGATAATGGTCTGTCTTTTTTGTAATAGCAGTCATTCACAGCTGCATTTTCCTGTGTAGACACACAACCCAGTAGTGAATGATGGCTACAGAGCAATATAGCAGAATATCTGATGATGTCTGGGGTGCAGCCCTGTTGTTTCCAGCCTTCAGAGAAACCTTTTTCCTCCATGGAATTCTGCAGTGCTTCATGTCTCCAGTTCTCCTGGGCCCATCTGTCTTGCCATCATCCTCTGTGTCCCCATAGATTCCATTGCCAGCTTTATATCATCCTCTTCTGTGTGAGATCTGATGTCTTTTTTGGGTTTTTTGTTGTTCTTGTTTTGTACAGACTGAGTATGAGCCCTGTTGTTTCCAGCCTTCAGAGAAACCTTTTTCCTCCATGGAATTCTGCAGTGCTTCATGTCTCCAGTTCTCCTGGGCCCATCTGACTTGCCATCATCCTCTTTGTCCCCATAGATTCCATTCCCAGCTTTATATTATCCTCTTCTGTGTAAGATCTGATGTCTTTTTTGGGGTTTTTGTTGTTCTTGTTTTGTACAGACTGAGTATGCACGAATGGAAAATGGACGGTTTGTATACCGGATCCATCGGTCCCCTATGTGCGAATATATGATCAACTTTATCCATAAACTCAAACACCTCCCAGAAAAATACATGATGAACAGCGTCCTGGAGAATTTCACTATCCTGCAGGTAAAGAATCTGTTCCTTTCCCCCCCCCCCTTATTCTACATCCCCTTCAGGTCTTATGTGTTACTAGTAAAAAAGGCCCATTGTGGAAATAAATACAATGAGCTCTAGAAAGAGGCTCTGGGTGGGTGCCCTGGCCTTGGACACTCAGTGTCAATTTCCTGTGGTGACCTCAGCAGGGTATAATGACACTGAGTCCACCATTTTCTCCAGAGGAATTGATCTCTGCTACCTAAAGAACAGTTCTAATTTTGAGTGATCTCCAGCCCTCACCTGGAGATTGGCAATGATGGTTCCCCAGAAGGGAATGGTTGGTTTGGAGGGTGGAGTCTATGGCTTTGTACCTGTCCGAGGTCCCATGCCTCCTGAAACCTCACCCTTTCCAGGCTCCATCCCTCACATCTACAGGAATTTCCCACCTGGAGTTGGCAACCCCATTTCCTTCCCAGCCAATTATCAACCTACCTTTATTTCCACCTCACTCTTCAGCTTTCCACCCCCCACACACACACCTGCAGCCTCTCCCGTGCACTGAAGCCCTGACTGCCACGTCACATTGGCTGTCATACGGGGGCCACCTCGGCAGCATATAAGGATACAGAGCCCACCATTTTCTGTCACTTTTTCTTCCTCTCTTCAGAGCTGTGCTTATCATCTGCTTGTGTCAAGATGGTGGTTTAGTGATTGTCAAGTTATGTTGTTTTTTCACATGATGAGAATGAGTGTGTTGGTTTATTCTGGGGCTACCTCATTTAAAATCTATTTCTTCCATCAGTTATATGTGTTAACCAACTATATGGAACTTGCATGTCATTAACTAGGGGCAGGATTGCGATAATTAACTTTAGCCTTTTAGTGGCACAGAACCTGAGAACAAGCTTTGGGTTAATGCTAGGAATAACAGTGAGAACACTGTGATTTTCATTTTCCATTGCTTAAAATGGCATGCGGTATGCATGGACCTGAGAGATGGACTGCCCAGTTGTTGCTGCTGTATAGCAACTGAGGAAAGATAAGTGTACCCACTGGGAGGTGCACTGGAAAGTGCCAGTGGAAAGGGAGCAGGGAGGCAGTTCATCTTCTGGTCCATGCCATTGTGCATATTCAAGACTGAGGTGCTATTAATCATTAGATGGCTCCACTGTTGACCATGAGTCTTTCTGGATCTTTATTTATTTATTTACATTATTTCTGGTGTGCCTAAAAGAAAGTAAAGTAGGTACCAGGCAAACCACAAGGGGGAGGGTGTTCCAGAGGTGAGGTGCCACCATAGAGAATGCTCCATCTCTAGTTGCTACCCACCTTATCTCTGAAAGTGGTGGAACAGAGAGCAGGGCTTGAGAGGAGAATCTTAACTGGTGGGCTGGACAATACAGGAGGAGATGATCCTTCAGGTACCTTGGCCCCAAGCTGTTCAGAGGCTTAAAGGTAAGAACCAGCACTTTGAATCATGCCCAGAAACAGATGGATAACTGGCCTAGATCCTTCAGAACAGGTGTGATATAATTCCTGTAACCAATTCCTGATAATAGCCTGGCTGCCGCATTTTGGAACAATTGAAGTTTCTGGACTGTCTTCAAGCATAGCCCTACATAGAGCACATTACAGTAATCTAACTTGGATATGATCACAGTATAGTTCATCATGGCCAGATCATGTTTTATGAGGAATGTTCATAGCTGGCAAACGAGTTGGAGCTGGCAAAAAGCACTATATGCCACATTGAATAGGATCTAGTAGTACCCTTAAGCTACAAGTCTGCTCCTTCAAGGGAGTGCAACCCTCTCCACCAAAGACCGGCTCCACAATCCCTGAGCAGCTTCTCCATTGACCAATAGCACTTCAGTCTTGTCTGGACTCAGTCTGTACTGGCCCTTATTCATCCCATTACTTTCTCCAGGCGCCTATTTAGGACTTCCACAGATTTAGCTGTTAAGAAGAAATAGAGCTGGGTATCATCCTCATATTGGTGACGCCTCACTCTGAATATAGATATCTCCTGATGGTTTCAGGTAGATGTTAAATATCATGGGGGGCAAGATGGAACCCTGCAGAACCCCATAACACAAATGCCAGGAGGCTAAGCAGCAGTCTCCCAGCACCACCTTCTAGAATCAGCTGCTCAAGTAACAGTGAAACCACCAAAGCATGGTGCCCCCACTCCCAATCCACCCAGCATCTCCAGAAGGATACAGTGGCTCATGGTATCAAAAGTCACTGAGAGGTCCAGGAGAATAAACAGGGATGCACTCCCCCATCACTCTCCCAGTGTCAGTTCTTATTCCCACATAATTATGCTCATCAGCTAAGATTATATACCAAAAGCCCTGTTTTGTGTTCACTCACCTTGGTGGATAAGGTTATTAGTTACAACAGAGAAGTCCTTCCGGCACCTTGACTTTGGAACTCCCTCTGCATAGCTGTTAGCTTAGCAATAAACTTTTGGTGTTACAGAAATCAATACAGCTGTTCCTGCATCAAGGCTTTTTGTGGGGTTGGGTTTTATCCTGCTATAATTTTCTGGATCCCACCTCCCACTGCAGTCCACTGAGTCCCCCAAAATGCTGCTCCAGGGGACCATCAGGAACAACATGAGGATCCATTTGATGGTCTGCAGTGGAAAGCAGGAAATCAGTGAAAACATGAAAGCTTTCCTTTCTGCTGGCAGAAAATTACCACTGAATCAAAACCATTGTGCTTGGGTTATCTGTACCTAAGTTTTTTTTAAAAAAAACAGTATGAGAAATTACTGGAAACCAGGTTCCTCATGCTTTAGTGGATTCTCCTTTTGTAGTCTTTAATTTGAACTTAAATTTCATTTGACAGGAGAGGAATAGCTGGATAGGTTAATGAGGTTTTGTTTTTGCATTAAAGATTAGGCTACGTTGTCATACCCCAAAGGCTAACTCAGCACCCCTCTCCCCCTTTTCTTGATCTCACTTTGTGCTTTCTTTTTCTCTCAGGTTGTTACGAATAGAGATACCCAGGAAACCTTGCTCTGCATAGCCTTTGTTTTTGAGGTCTCCACCAGTGAACACGGTGCCCAGCATCATGTATACAAGTTGGTCAAAGACTAGAGGCCCCCCTGGGGTAACCAGGCAATTTGAGAGACGAGAGACGTCTTGTCAAGAGAAGCCACACATATAGGATGCCTTGACGCAAGTCTTTTGAAAGCAAGCAACAACAAAAAATGCCAAAAAGGACTGTTTCACAATCACAGATGTTTTCTACTTAGGAACAATTTTTTGAACAGAAAAAAAAATACAGGAAACCATAAAGTTGAAGGAGTTATATCTGAAGGCAGCAGGGGCAGGACTGTCCCTGGGGGCTTAGGTCATCAGTATTTCAGGAGGCGTTGCTAAGGCCTAGTACCGCTGGAGGCCTTTCCCAGCACAAAGTACCACAATAGCATCTGGGGAAATGTGACTGTCGCCCTCTTCTTAATACCTGAATTTGCCTGTTTTTTGTTTTGTTTTGTTTTGTTTTCTTGCTGAGAGTTGGGTTCTGTCCTCAAAACCAAATTAGCCTGTTGTCTTTCATCTGCAGAAAACAGTTTGTGCAGAAGCACTGAGGATGTCTGTTCTGAGAAGTGAGGGGGAGTCAGGTGCTGCCTTGCTTATGCAGCTGGTACCCATTCTGCTCTGGAAACTGACAGTGAAGACTCTTCTTCAGTCTTCTGCCAGAGGCAGCACAGGGAATTGGCAGATGGCATCTTGCAGTGGCACATATAAGAAAGTGATTTTGTTCCCATGGGGTCCTGGGCATTATCTGTTGCAGAATCTGACCTGCCACTGCATCTTTTGTTATAGTGTTGGAGGGGAAAGCACCAGCAGTTAGTTGTTGCAGGAGTGTGGCAACCCTACACCCATGTCCCAGCCATTTGGGTCATGCATAGGAGTGTGGCTACAGAATGAATGAGTGTATTTGTGTTAGCCCCAATGACAAGAGGGGGCTCTTAAGTGTCTGAAATCTATAAAAGGTTAGAGTATGTTTTAGGAGAAAGGAAGGAAAGGAGGGCTTAGCTGGAGAAAAGCAATTCAGAGAGCTATTGGTAAAACAGAATACAGGTTGAAGATAAGCAGGCTGGTTCTAGGTGAGCTGTGAGGTGAAATGGTGGTTTGGAGAAATATTTGGGCTGGTGAAGCTTAAGGGGGAAACCCATGGGCTTTATAACCAGCTCTTGATGAAGCATTTTATATCTGCCATGTCAGAAAAAATATGGGAAAAGCTTAGACCAAAGTTCTTGCTCTCTGGGCATTGTTTTGGTGAGAGGTTCATTTTCCCTTCTGCTTCTCTTTCAATCTGCAGTAGTTACCCTAGACAGGAGGACAGGCTGTGAGTTGTCTTTCCCCTGTATTCTATACTTCTGTGTTAGTATATCCTTGTGAGGGTGGCTAGAACCAAAGCAAAAACTGAGTAATCTGGAAGGCCAAATCCAGGGACATGCTGACAAGATGGAATGACGTACAATCTGGGCATACTCTTGTCATTGCAATACTGTTTGCAGTACTGGGGAAAGTGTCAGTGAAAGGTCTCAGTATGAACATGAGCCTCTGTTCCTTCATCCTGGGGTATAATCCAATGGGCCCACAACTTAAATCGGTGCTTTTAGGAATCCTGTTACATGAATAGTGCCAAGACCTCAGTGCCCTCACTGCACATGGCACTTCCAGGGCTCTCTGGCCCATAGGTTTTAGCTATACTTTGTCTGTCTTAAATGCTTAGCTTGTAGTTTTAAATAATAGAGGAACTAACAGAATGTATGGTTTGTGCCATTTTCTACCATTGAACTTTTCTTACCTTGTCCTTCAGCTTTTCCTTGGCTACATTGCCCTTTTTAAAAGTTGGTTGAGTTTTTCTCTCCTCACTCACTCACTCTTTTTTTTTAAAAAAAAGCCTGGTATAATTCTAATCAAACTGACCAGATTTGTCTGCACTCAACATTCTGTGACAAACCCAGTGGCCTTCCTGTGGAGGTCCCCCAAAACATACCCTTGACAAAAGTGTAAGAATGCTATTGCCACAGGGAGGGAGAGTATAAGGAAGATTGCCATGTTTAGAAGGAATTAAAATGTTCAGACCTGCCTGCTTCCACAAATCCTAATAACTGGGTGTCTGTCTGGTGTTAAATGGAATCTATTCTAAGGTGCTACAAAGAGAGGCTTCGCTTCCAGAATGATTGTCATAGTGGCATCAGTATGTGTGGAATGCCACCTCCCCCTTAAAAAAGAAGCAAGGACAGGGAGCTGGGGATTCAGGATTGTATTGGAAAGAAAAGTCTGCTAAACAGAAGAACAGTGACACTGAAGAAGCAAAACATTGGTACATGTTATCAGAATAAGAGATTTGGGTATAAAAGTCAGAGATCCTCCCTTCACATGTTTTTGTTGTTCTGAAAAATTTATTTCCTTGTCTTTACTTGCCGTTGTCTGCCTTAGAAGGTAGGAGATGAGGTTATGGAGACTGACCTTTTAAAAACAACAGTCTTGATGCTCTTCTTTTCGCAGCTGACTTGTGCCTTGCTGTTGGGTTAGCACATGTGTTTCAGCTACTTGGACAGTCATCTTTGCCTGAAGGACCAGGAACAAAGGCATTGGTTGACCCAGACTTCAAGTAGCAGACTAAGAAAGTTCCTACAAGTCTTTGGACGGTCGCTTGAAAGCAGTACACAGCCTGTTATGCTGTGCAGCGACACCATGAGAATGACTGACAGAGTAGTCTCCCAACTTTTTTGAAGGACATTTTTAATTAATGTAAGATTTTCCTGTGAAGTGTTTTTAACTGATGCCACCCAAGGACTTCTGGAAAACTCCACCAGGACAGTGAAATGAACACTCCTCTGTATTATATCAGACCCCCTGAAATGGGAATGGTACGTGGGGCTACTTGGTAGTACAACAAGTTACGCACAGCTTAGGAAAAGTGCCTTGTTTGCAATGTGTGCTGCACTGCTAGAGGATGAGCAATGGGTGCTGGAAGTCCCAGGAAACACTTGGTAGCACAGTTCAGATGAACATCTCTACTGCTCCCTGCCTCCAAGAATACGTTGATCCTGCTGCACAGTCTTCCTGGGCAAAGCATGCATGATTGTGTGTGATTCTTCTGTGTAGCTGTTCTCTTGAGTGCCACAACATTGTTGTGCCAGCTCAACTTTCAGGTACGTTTGGAAATCCCTTGTGCAGAGGTACAGGATCCTTGAAATCAACTGACAGCTGCAGTAATGAAAATGGGAGGATGCATAGTTAGAAAGGGGGTGGGATTTTGAATTCCTTTTCCATTACAGCCAAGATCTCTGCGATTGCAAGGAGGAGAGGGCTGGTTACTTTATATGTAGCATGTTTATTTTCATTCCTAGATTTAAAAACTCTGGGAGTTAGGGTTAAAACTTTTCTGTTCTCCTGAGCCCATGTACACTAAAGATGTCCCTTTTCTGCTAATCATGCCTTTTAAGAAAGGAGCCACATGCATGTGCGCGCGCACCACCACCACAGGGCAGACTTAAGTGTACAAATCGGGGAGAGTAAAGCGGGACTTTAGTCTTGCCTAACACAATTTTTCTTTATATATAAACGTCTTCCTTGTATTTTATCCACAGTCATCTTTGGAGATTGTCTTGGAGTCTTTGGTATACCCCCTCCCTTAAACTGGACTCTGCTACATTTCTCATTCTTTTTCACTCCGATGTCATATTGTTTTTAGTTTCTGTGCAACATGCACTTAAATCCTACCCCCAGCCTTCCTGCTGCAGAATCCCTTCACCCTTTGCCCCCTAGCTTACAGGCACAAATGTACATGTAAACCACTGCCCATTTTATTTTACTTTCCCAGCAAAGAATGGCAGCAAGGCTAAGGAAATGCCAGCTGCATGGATCTCTCTTAGCCGGACATAACACAGGTACCCCAAGAGCCACTAACCAAGTTTCCCCCCACATCCCACGTATTTATGAATTTCACATGAAGTACTGTTTTATTTTTTTAAAGACTTTTTAAAGCTTACCAGGGTTATGGTCACCTTTTTAGAGCTCTGTCAGTCCACAGTGTAAAACCATTTTTAATGTATTATATATTTTGTGTATTTTTTTTAATCCAGCTGTGATGGGTTGTATCATATAATGTTGTGTTTACTGTATGTCCATCTTGAAATAGATGGGACAGTGGAGCTCCTAAAAACCTATGGTCTGCTGAAAACCATTAAACATATTTGTTCATGGGTTGGCTGAAACACTTTTGGCATCCATTCTTTTCTCTTTATTTATTCTTTAGCATTACAGTCACAACAAGAAGCAATGATTGGATTCTTTATTTCCATAAGGGCTTGTTGTACCAGCAGGAAGATATTAAGAAGTCTGTATATTTTGTGTGTCCACAAGCTCCCTGTACTTTTGTGTTCAGCCGCGACCTCCCCACCACAATTGAGACAGAGCGAACTTGAGGCCCCTTGCGCGCCTTCAGTTCCGGGTTTAGAGTGTTTTAGCCCACTCAGCTTGGACAAAGTTGACAGATTGCTCGTTTCTGTTCACCCAACCACATGCGACCTGGACCCGTGCCCCTTCTGGCTCATTAAGGCAGGTCACGAGGGGTTTCGAGGTGCTTTGCGGGAGATTGTCAACAAGTCCCTTCTTGAGAGACAGTTCCCTGGAGCACTTAAGGAAGCGATGGTCTGCCCCCTCTTTAAAAAGCCATCTTTGGACCCGGCCGAATTGGCAAACTGTCGGCCGGTGTCTAATTTGCCCTATTTGGGCAAATTGATAGAGAGGGCGGTGGCGTTACAGCTACAGGGCTTTCTGGATGATGCTTCAGTCCTGGATCCCTTCCAGTCCGTCTTTCGCCCGGGTCATGGGACGGAGACGGCATTGGTTGCCCTGACGGACGATCTCCGAAGGCATCTGGATCGAGGTGGTGTGGCGGCGCTGCTGTTGTTAGATCTGTCGGCCACGTTTGATACGGTCAACCATCAGCTGCTGACCCGCCACCTCGCCGACGTGGGGATTCAGGGGCTTGCCCTTCAATGGTTTGCCTCTTTTCTCCAAGGTTGGGGACAGAGGGTGGCGATTGGGGAACAGCGGCCCCGGAGGCATCCTCTTGAGTGTAGGGTGCCTTCGGGGGCGGTGCTGTCCCCAATGCTATTTAACATCTATATGCGCCCCCTCGCCCAGATTGCCCGGAGTTATGGGCTTGGGTGTCATCAATATGCAGATGACACCCAGCTCTATCTGATGTTGGGTGGCCAGTCGGACTCTGGTCCTGATTACCTTCATCGGGCATTGCAGGCCGTGGCTGGTTGGCTTAGGCTGAGTTGGCTGAAACTAAACCCAGCGAAGACGGAGGTCCTGGACCTGAGTCGGATTGGTTCGGGGTTGGGTCTCCCTCTCCCGACCTTCGATGGGGTGCCTCTGGTACCAACGTCGGGGGTTAGGAGTTTGGGGGTGCTCCTGGACTCCTCTTTAATGATGGAGGCCCAGGTGGCAGCCACTGTCAAGTCAGCCTTTTACCATCTTAGGATGACACGGCAGTTGGTTCCCTACCTTGACCGTGATGACCTGGCCACTGTGATCCATGCGACGGTCACCTCGAGGCTAGACTAATGCTACGCTCTCTACATGGGGCTGCCTTTGTTGCAAATCCAGAAGCTGCAGCTAGTGCAGAATGCGGCAGCCAGGCTGTTGATGGGTCTTAGTAGGCGGGACCATATCCAGCCTGTGCTGAAGGCGCTGCACTGGCTGCCAATAGCATACTGGATCCGCTTCAAAGTGCTGGTTCTTACCTATAAAGCCCTATATGGCCAGGGTCCGGTTTACCTGAGGGACTGCCTTTCCCCATATGTTCCCCCTAGGGCACTACGGTCGGGGGCACAACACCTGTTGGTTATCCCAGCCCCAAAGGTTGTTAAATATGATGCTACCAGGGCCAGGGCTTTTTCGGTGGCGGCTCCTACCTGGTGGAATGAGCTCCCGGAAGAGATCAGGGCCCTGCGGGACCTAGCACAGTTCCGCAGGGCCTGTAAGACGGAGCTCTTCCGTCAGGCTTTCAAGTAGGAGCC